TCCTAGATTTAATTCTTCCCATACCATTTCCTCCACAAAATACTTCATGTTATCAATTCCAAATAAAATTAAATAATGCTTAAGCTTTATGATAATAAATCTTCTCTAACTCTAACTTCCCTCTTCTTCTACCTTGCTTGTTCTTGTGGTGTCTCTGGGGATAACTACATTCCGGGCATTGGTGGAGATGCAGGTTGGCAGCCCTGTACAGTGGTGTCTGTCTCCCGCGGCATATTGAAAGATGTCGGCCGCTGCGGACCCATGCTTATTTGTAGCCCCACGTCCACCCACAGCATTAACAACATCAATGTGCATGTGACATCACATGTTCTGGGGTTAGAGGCCGGGTACGGCCAATTGGATTTAAAGGAGACTTATTTAAACTCCTTTCTTGCCTTCCCTCATTGCCCTGTTGTGGTTTCCCTTAATGGTTGTCCAAGAGTGTGTTCCTGAGCGTTTATTTCTGGTTATTGACTTTGGCTTTGTTTGACTTCCCTGTATTCCGGTGTCCTTGACTTTTGGCTTCCCTCATTGTTGTGTCTCCTTCTGTGTCCCTGACCTTGGCAAGTATTCTGACTATTCTCTGGTACGTTAAGTCTGGCCATTCTAAGGCCCGATAAGACGTTACATTTAGTCCTAGGTGTGATATTATTCTATGTGCTGGATCAACTAGTAATCCCTAAAGGAAGGTAATAAAAAAAGAGCTTTTCTCTATCTCCTCTCCCCTGGTTCCCCCATAAAGTTCCATGAAATACATTTTTCTTGAAGAGTTGTCGGGCCTGAGAAGGAGTATGGTCCTCCATTATGGAAAAGGGTCAGTGCTGTTGGAAATGTCCATTTGTATCTTATGTTATGAAGTCGCAATATTTGTGTTTGTTCCGAGAACTTCAATCTTGCTGTTCTTGTTGCATAAGATAAGTCTTAGAAGAGTTTGATATCTTTGTAGTTGTCTCCTAGAGATTTTTTCTTTCTGGCTGCTTGTAGAATTGCATCCTTAGTATAGTAACTAGAAAAGCATACCAGAATGTCTTTTGGTAATTTCTTATCTGTTACTAAGGTTAGACAGGCGATGAAATCTCTCGAATGGATTTCCTTCTAGTTTTTCTGGGGTAATTACAGATTCGAATAGTTCTCTTAAGTATGAGCATATATGATCAGGGATTAATTTACTCCCTGGATTCTTAGATATTTCCTCCTTCCTCTATCTTCCAGATCTGTGACTTTGTTCTTCAGGAATTTAATTTTTTTTAATCCATCGGTGAGTTTTCAGTTAGTAATGATATATAATCTGTTTGACTTTTATCCAGTGTTTTTGCTTGCGTTGTCAGTGAGGTAATGAGTGGATTAACTTCTTTTCTTAGGTCTTGCATATTTGACTCAAAGTCCTGTTTTATTTTATTATATAAATTATCGAGCAACTCTGAGATTCCTTGTTGGGTAATAGTGAATTATTTAATAGTGGAGTCATTTTCTGTGGTGAGTGACCAACTCTGGTCAGTTATTGTGTGAAATATTAAGCGTTCAATGGTTTGAGATCTTCTTTTCGTTAGATCTCAATCTGAGGTAGGTATTTATCTGCTCAATTTTTTTTTTTTTTTGTAGTACTGGTAGGATTTTTATCATTGCTTTTTTCCTTTTTGGGAGCCATGTTTAATTTGACACTTTTTCCTGTCAGGCTCATAGGTTTGTGTACTATATGGATATTTGTTTACTTCCTCTTGATATTTTGTGGCATTTATCTGTAGTTAGGTGGTAATAGGTAGTAAGAGGAAATTGGTGTTTTTCTTTTTTGTTTTTCACTCCTATCTTATTCCCTTTTTCCCCTTTTATCTTCTCCTTCCCTTTTTCTTTCTCTTTCCTTTTTTTGCAGTTTTCTGCAGTTGCTATGGGTTACTATGGGTTTCTTAAATGAACTATTTTTGTAGTGCTATTTTACTGTTTTTGCTTCAATTCATAACTATGCAAACTATAATGAGGGAAAAAAACTTCTCCTTTGATGTTCTTTTTTCCCTTTTTTGTCAGTCCTCCCCCTATTTTTTTTCCTTTCCCTTTCCCCTCCTCCTTGATTTCTTTCCCTTTTCCCCCTTTTTTTCTTTCTTTCCTCTCCTTTTTTATTTTTATTTTTTCTCCTTCTTTACTTTATTAAGCTATTTGTTTAATTTTCTTTCCAATTTCTCAGCCACTCAGGTGGATAACGAATTACTGTTTACAAGTTGCTAACAAAGTTAATAATTTTAAATATCCACTTCTCACATCCCTTAGCTATTTCTACCTCCTCCTTTCTGTCCACTCCGTCCACTCCTCCTCTGTTAAACTCCCTCCACCATTACTCATCAGAGCCAGGCCTCCTACCCCTTTACCAATAACAAAGACAGCACTCTGGAGTTCTCAAGGGGCTCCTATGTGCTTCCATCTGCAACCGTTGGTGGCCTGCCTGTATCAGCTAATATCACATCCTGGTCCTTCACACCTCTGCCTCTCTTTGCTGCTCAACACCAAACATCTCCCCAGGCAGCCTCCACCTCTCCGTGTTGCTCCACTGCACCGCCAACTCACAGCTTCAGTTTCTGTCCAATTCACTGCGCTGCTCTCTCTCAGACACTCAGAATGCTTGCGTCCTCCAACAGCAGCGTGTGCACGCAGATGTCAAGTCACGTCACACATGTCATCATGCCCCCTTTTCAAAGAGAATAGTTGTACACTTTAAATGAAATTAAATAAAATGCATTTAAAAATGGTTTGTGCATCCCTGACACTGTGTTACAAACCATTGCTTCAGGAAGTATTTAATGATCAGTTTAAATAGTTTAAAAAACCTGTCTTTACATACTCTTCTCAATGAAATTGATTTTGCATACATATACAATACTGGATTTTTGGATAAACAGGCCCAGATGCATTTTGCCCCCACCCCACACACACATACTCACACACTTAACCCCTTTTGAATTTCTTACTCCTTGAGCTGCTCACACTGTCAAAGCTCTATTTGATGGTCTCTTTGTAAATGTGTGTGACTATTATACACACATCATACATCTTGTAGTAAAGACTACAATTCTGGAAAGGTGACAATTATACTTGTGTGTTTCAGGAGAGTTGCTGGGCACCACAGTGTGAAGGCTAGCCAAATATTGAGGCAGGACCAGGAGAAAACAAGAGTTCTTACACACTGTCTATAACATGGTGTCAGCACATGGTGGAACTCTTTATATGTTGGAAAAAGTTTTGCAACAATACAAGGAAAGCCATAGGATTCCAAAGAGTACATTGGCATTGATTCCACACAGGGTCCTATGACTAGCTTAGGTATCTATGACAAGCCTCCACAAACCATAGAGGACATGATAACACCTTCCCATTTAAACTCCTGATAACAAATAAAGACACTTTTTATTAGGGGCCACACTTTTTCAAACAGCATAAACTCAGAGCCTAACAGTATATATGAGAAGGCATAGATTTAACATGTAAAGATTTCCACTCTAAAAAAGAAAATAACATTTATGAGTAGGAAAATGATGGCAATAGTAATCCCTACACCTAGAGCAGGAGCAGGCAACCTTTGGCACTCCAGATGTTCCAGACTTCATATTCCATGATGCTTTGCTAACATCTTGACTGTAAGATAATTATGGGAAATGTAGTCCATAACATATGTAGTTCTGAAGGTTGCTTACCCCTACGCTTGAGCCTGTGTTTTGGAGATATATAAGTTATATGAGTGTTGATTATACTGTTTTATAACACTCTTTTAAAAATTGGGGAGAGAGACTAATGGTTGAGTGACCATCAGTAAAACATTATTTACAAAAAAGTTAAGTTTAAACTCTTCTCTCTAACTGTGACGCCATGCATACATAGATCATGTGTAAAGGAAAATAGTAGCTCCAGTTCTAAAAAAGTAAAGTTTTAGGGACAGTGGATGTCTTTGTCTAGTTCCTATATTAATAGTGAATGGGATGGAAATCTTGATTTTAAAACCTTAGCGGTCAGCCTGCTATAGAGGAAGTACTGTTAAAAAATGCAAAGTTCAATAATACAACAACTAAGAAAGACCAATCAATATGATAAAATGCTTTTTCAACATCAATGGACATTAATATTGACCTCACTGTTCTTGCAAACTAAAAAGAATGTCAAACACCTTCCTAGTATTGTCAGTGACCTAGTGACGTTTAATGAAACGGGCTTTAGCTAGAAATTTGGCATCACATGTAGGCCAGAAATCCTGGCACATGATTGCTAATTTGCAAGGGTTATGGCAAGGTTACAACATGAGCAATAGGTTTTCCTTGTATGGACCTATTATCTATTTTTTTTCCATTTGAAAATGTTTATTGTTTTTCAAAACACGAGGGGGGGGATACAGAAAGGAAGCGTGGGTGAGGGAAAGGCATATCATGAAATCTTTTCATTCTCAGAGCAGTAAATTGTGGATTGCTTACAGTGATTTTTTTATTCGCAGAAACATTCAGGGATGGCAGTCAGGCGATGCCAGAACATTGAACATATAGGAGCAGTTACAGGTGGTGCTACACTGAAACTTATATCAGTGACAGTGTGACCACTATTGTGATGGCTGTAAATGTAAGGAGACTCCAAACTCAGCTGTCCATCATGGGATTGGGGGGTTACGATCTTGGATTGTGTAATATAATATAGTGCCTCCCCATATAGGTGTCAAGGTAAAATGCTACTGAGTATCTGATAGCAGAGTATAGTATAACGGGGTGTGTGGTCTCGAGCATATCGGGGCAAGGTGCCTCACAAAAAGTATTTGGCAGCAGAGAGTAACACAGTTAGTAGCATGTCTTGGCCACCATCTTGAATGGCCACCTTTTAGAGAGATTCCTGGGACAAGGGGACAATAATGTTACAAAAGTGACATTTACTATACTGATCCACTATATCTGAACATTACTTCAGCTTTAAGAACCTTCAAGCAACATGCAGAAGCAGAAACAAATGGAGAAGACTATTTCGCACACTTGGAGCGAATGGAGACAGCTCCCGCGAGCGGCTCACAAGGCAAATCAAGCCACTCGCTGTTAACTACAAAAGCTGCCCGGTCACCAACATGCCAAAGTGACCAGGCTGAAGAGGAGAGGGCGGGCGGCAGGAGGTCCTGCTCCCCATCGTGTTCCTCGTGCTCACGACGGTCGGACATGACAGGGGGGGCTGCTATCCAACCCCTAATATTTAAAGATATAGAAAGGGCTACAGAGAGCCCAGAAGAAGCTGAAATGGAGGGTGCTCCAAACATATTAATGTTTTCTCCTCAGCAACAGAGAAATAAAAACATTGCCACCACCAAGATGGCTGACACTCATGAGCCAGTAATTGCCACAACCAAGATGGCCACTCTTAATTCAGAAGGTGTTGAAGCCTCAACCTAGATGGCTGCTTCCACCTCTAAGAAGGCTACTACTTCATTTAAAGCTATCACATATAATCCAAATATGCCACCTGAAATAGCAGAAGACTTACCACCATCTGCTGGCATGATAATTAAGCTAATCCAGAATCTAAGAGTGAATTTAAAAAACGACTTCAAAAATGACTTTGAAACAATTTATGGAATGATGGAAGGTATTAACCAGCGCACAGAGGAAGTAGAAAATAGATTGTATTTTCAGGAGCAATCTCATCTGGATTTGGTTGATGCCGTAAAGGCGCTCCAAAAACAGGTGAACAAGCAGGCAGAGAAGTTAGCAGATGCTGAGGACAGAAGCATATGCAACAATCTAAGGATCAGGGGAATCCCTGAAACCATCGACACTGTGGAACTACCGAACTATTTTCAAAATATGGTAAATACCGACTGCCACCAATTTGGACTTATTGCTGGATCGTATTCACAGACTGCCCAAACCGAGCAATGCACCTGCAGACGCACCCAAGGATGTTATAGTGAAATTCCACTATTATCATAAAAAGGAAGAATTCTTGGGCGCAGTGTGCACGTCTAGTCTTCCTGGGAACTATAACAACATGAAAGTATTCCAGGACTTTTCAGTTCACACACTGAGACAACGCAGGAAATTCCCACCTATTACGTCTGAGTTACGTCGGAGAGGGATAAGGTACAGATGGGGATTCCCTGTTAAAGTACTTTTCTGTACGGATAAGGAAATTTGATATCATAACACCTGAGGAAGGAACAGACGCCAAGCACCGCCTCATATGCTTTCACCAACGACCCCTAAACATCAAGAGGAGTAAACAGGATGTTCCATGAAGCCCAACCTTGTTCCTGAGTTCTTGATTTTATGATTTCAGAATTCCAGTCTAAGGAGTGTCAATTTTTTTTATTTTTCCGCTCACGAACCACTCAAATTATTGTTTTAAGGTGTGATGCTTTTCACTGGCTCTATTTTTGTTGTTCTTGCCTTTGCTTCTGTCTATTTTTGTTGTTCTTGCCTTTGCTTCTATTTTTTTTTATCTTTTATTCTATTTTATTTTGTATTTCTTTTACTTTTCACTGGGTTCTACTGTATTGCTCTGAGAAATCTTAATAATTTAACTATACTGATGTTCCCTGCTCCAGTCTTGAGATATGTCAGGATTACTTGAAAACTTGGTTTGCTTTTTTTTTCAATTTTTATTTTTTTGACAAAACTTCTGGGTTTATATAGTTGTCACTGGTCACATGCCATTACTATTTATCCCATAACATACTCTAACTATTTATTATCTTCTAACTTTGTACTAAAAATTTTTTTTTCTCAGACAAAGGTTCAAGGTTGTTTTCTCCTTTTTTTCTCTGTTTTTTTTAATTATTTTTTTTCTATTTACAAAAGTTTCCCTTGCCCCCTCTCTTCCCCCTAACCTGGGCCTAACACCCTGAGATGGAGATTTTTTTTTTTTTTATGTATATACTTTTTTATTGAGAAAATTTTTTTTTAAATTTTTCAAACAATTTAACAAACATATTTGACAACGACAATTATATGAATAAATATACAAACAAGACAATACAGTACAAGGACAACATACATACAATATGTGATTTAATATATAACTCGTCTAGGAAAGATATCAGTTTAACCTTACAGTAGATAGAGGAGTTATAGCTTTGAACTATCTTTTATCTTTTGAATCCATTGCACATAGTAATGAGTAGAATTAAGGTTATTTATAAATATGCAACTCCTTTCTCTATTTCCCCTTTTTCTTTCTTTTTTTATTTTATTTTTTTTTTCTTTTTTTTTCTTTTTCCCTTTTCCCCTTCCCCTTCCTTTCTCCCTTCCTTTTTTTCTTTTCCCCTCCCCTCCTTCCTTTCTTTCCCTTTCCCTTTTCTCTTCCCTTCTTTTTTGTCTATTTAATCTTTATTGAAAAAGAGGTTTTTCTTTATTTCATTCTCTTACTCTTTTCTTCTCTTTTCCTTTTTCTTTCCTTTTCCCCTTTCTTTCTCTCTTCTCTCTTCCCTTTCCGCTTTTCCTTTCCCCTTCCCTTCTTTTCTCTCTCTCTTCCCTTCCCCTCTTTTACATTGTTTCCCTTTCTCTTTTTCCTTTTTCCTTTTCTTTCCCTTTCCCCTTCCTTTTTTTTTTACAAACAAAAAGGGATTCACATACATTGTTACAAAATTAAACCATCAGACATTAGACAATAAAAAAAAAACAAAAAAAAAACGCTGCTCTTTGCCGAGAGATAGTCGCATATTGCTTCTAGGAACCTGGAATCATAATTTTTAACATAAAATTTTTTTCCTTAGCAAACAGGCTCCTCAGACCCGTGACTAATTTAGTAATTTATGCACAGGAACCACTACCCTATCTACATTTCCAAGACGTAAAAACCTTAGTGTATATTAAGTCACATTACTTCTTCCTAATTTCACAATCCATTTCTGCCATTGATCAATTCGTGGATTGTAATAATTATTTTGTCTCAATATCCCTATTTCCATTTTACAATTATTCGAGACCTGATGTTTTATCATCTCCCATGACGGGGAATCTGAGATTTTCCAAAATCTTGCGAGAGTAGCTTTAGTTTCTACAAGAATATGGATAATTATTTCTTTTTTATCCTTTGGAATTGTAGGCCATCCCATATGTAATATCATAGAACTACAAGTAAAATCAAGATCCACTTCTATTTCTTCCCTGCAGAATTTCGCTACCTTTTGCCATAACTGAACTATAATCGGACATGACCACCATATATGCACATAGTCTGCTGTAAGTGAAGCACAACGCCAGCAGTGAAATTGGTTACTTGAATATATTTTTGCTAATTTAGCTGGTACATAGTGCCATCTGTTTATAATCTTATAGTGACTTTCCGATAGATTTAAACAATGTGAAGCTTTCATTACTGCATTGTTAGCCTCAAGCCATTCACTTCTCGTGATGCTAATTTGTATATCTTTTTCCCAAGCTTTTTTAGCTGGGAATTCCGGGAGTGGCTTATACTTACTGCAGATATTAGAGCATTTAGATACTAAATTTTTACTATGTGTAATATTTAATAAATTTATGAACAACTGTAATTCCTCAGAGATCTCCACTATTCTGTGTCTCATTAAGAAATATTTTATCCTTAAGTACGTGAAGCTTTCTCTATAGGAAAGAGAAAAAGCCTGTTTAATCTCTTCAAAAGATATAATCTGTTGTTGTTGAAATAATTGACTTATTCTATTAATGCCTTTATTTAACCATGGCTCCAGATTAAGGTCCTTAATATTAATGGACAGAACCTGCATGGGGAGGTCAATAATAATTTTGTCTGTAATTTTGAGTCTTTTTTTCCAGATTCTCCATTGAACCAGTAAGTTATCTAGAATTAGGCCCATATCATTTCTCTCCTCTTTGTGTATATTCCAAAATAAAGCCATTAAGTCTGGAATTTCTGCTCTTTTAGCTTCAATCTTTGCCCATGATTCTCCCCTAGAGCTCTCTTTCATAGATGAAATAATATGTGCCAATGAGCAAGATTCATAAATATCTATAATGTTAGGAACTCCCATCCCTCCGAGTTTAGGTTTTAGGTTCAAGATTTTTTTGCTAACCCTAGGTTTTTTCCCCATCCATATATATTTGTCTAATGCTGATTGGATCATCAGGAGCCATGGCTTCGGCATTTTCATTGGTATCATGCGGAATATATAACTCCATTTAGGGATCATATAAGCCTTTACGACATTGATTCTACCTGTCCATGATATCTCTGCTGTTCTCATATCTTTCAATTGTTTATTAATTTGCATCAATAAAGGCATAACATTATATTCTAAAATCTTAGCTGGGTTAGTGGAAATCCTTATACCCAAGTAAACAAAAAAAGTTTTTACCCATTCGAAAGTATATTTCGCTTTAATATATAATTTATCTTCCTTTTTTATATTTTTTGCGAGAATACTTGTCTTATCTACATTTAACTTGAAATTAGAATATTGACCAAATTCATGAATCAGCCTTATCAGTTCATCTATTGATGTTATAGGGTCTGTTATAGTGATTAAGATATCGTCAGCAAAAAGTAGCGTTTTATATTCCTCTTGGCCTATTTTAATTCCTTTAATTTTGTCATTATTTCTAATGTCACAAATTAGGGGTTCTATGTATAGTAGATATAACAATGGGGACAGGGGGCACCCCTGTCTTGTCCCATTCCTTATATTGAACCACTCGGAGATTATCCCCCTCCCAATTGTTCTAGCCTTTGGAGAACTGTATAAGGCCATAATTGCACTCAGAATCCAGCCTTCAAAGCCGAAAGCCTTCAAGGCCTCCCTAAGGAAGTCCCATCTGACCCTGTCAAAGGCCTTTTCAGCATCCAATGACAGGGCCAGCATTGGAATACCCGATTCATGGGCGTAGTCCAAAATATCAATCATTGTTCTTATACTATTATTTGATTGTCTATCCTTCAAAAAACCTACCTGATCCCCATGAATAATAAACGGGAGGACTCCTTGTAATCTATTCGCCAAGATACTTGCATAAATTTTTATATCAGAATTTAATAGAGATATAGGACGATAATTCGCTACAAATTCCTTAAGTTTATCTGGCTTATGAATAGGAATTATGTTGGCGTATAATAGTTCATTAGGTATATCTTTTTCTCTAACTATATTATTAAAGAGATCTTTGAGGTGTGATGCTAAGACATCCTGGAATTGCTGATAAAATATATTTGGATATCGAGATTTTTTTTTTTTATTCTCCCTCATGGCCCTTTTTTATTACTGTTCTTTTTTTACCCCTGATATGGGTTTATACCCAAGTTTTTTAGTCCCTTTTTTATTTTTATGTCCATCCACTTTCTTAAGACATGCAAAATATTTCACACAACACAATTTAAAGTTATAATTTGTACAAAATTTGAAGGAATTGGTTCAGTATGTTTTTTTCTATTCAAACAAGCTCAAGCATCCAATATTATTGTT